CTTCTATTCAGCGTCTGCTGCTCGTAGTCAGAGCTCTTGGGCCCGTTGCCCGCCGAGTTGTAGGCCTGTACGTTAAACTGGTACCACTCGACCGCCTCAAGGCCGATGATGAGCCCGTGGTTCAGGTTGGTCGACCCGTTGGGAACCTCGATGATGTTCTGAAGGGCATCCGTCTCAAGGTCAATGTTCATGCGCCAGTAGTTGATCTGTCGAGGAAAAAAAACAGTGGCAGGTTTGGTACAATCATGGGTCTCAACTCAGAATCTTAAAAAAGGAGGAACTTTCCGCATGATCACGACAGAAATAACTATTTTTGCGAGACACCCATTATTATTATACTGTTTAATCTTAGAATGCTGAAATAAAAACCGTCAATTTATCAAAGCAGGGTTATTTCACACCAATTTGAGGGTTTGGAAGATAATTTCAAGTAAAAGAATGACTTACCAAATATTTACAATCTTGCTTATGTACAGAAAGGGGCGGTTTAACGGAGGAAATGGCGGTAGCGGAAATCCGCTAAGTAGTGGAATATTGAGACCCATGATAATAGACCAGTGGTTAGGCTAGTGGGCTTGTAATTGTGAGGTTGCAGTTTCAGAGGTTCAGGGCGCAGGCCCAACATTGTGTCCTTGGAAGAAGAACTTTACACAAAACTTCCCCATTTCACCTGGGTGGGAGTGGATATCTAGCCACAGACAGTGAAAGATCTTGTTAGTTTGTAAGTGTTTTAGAGCCTGTAAAATGGCAGCCTACATTGTATACTTCACACATGTCTAACTCAAAGTCAAAGCCCATTGGTTACATCCAGCCCAGCAAACAATTGGTCACTTTTAAGCACAAGGGGGCTATCCCGAAAAATACTATTTTGAGAAAATCGAAGGTAAAGTTTTTGGAGCCTTGTTCAGTTCCTCTAAGAGACAAGGATAGTTTTCTCTATAACCAAACAAATATACACACCAATGAAACCAAACTTTTCCTATAGGTAGGGCAATGGCCACTTTCGGAGTAGGTCAAGAATTTTGGAAACCCCCGAAATCTGGGTTACCCGCTTGTCCTTAAAAGCAAACAATTATATCTAGCCCACGAGAGAGTTTTAGGTAATCCATCCTGGGAATCTTCACAGCTCAGAACCGTCTGAACCTTACTCCAAACAGAAACGAACTTGTTTGCCAAGAAAAAGATGTAGAACATTAATTAATTTTTAAATGTTGGGGGGGAAAGTGTTTTACGGTGCTCGCAACTACATAAGGTCACATGAGCGCGCTGGACACACCAAATATTTTCAGCTGGCAGGAAATTTTGAATTTTTGCCCAGGTGGCCACTGAAGCCTACTCTTATCAATTTCGGACAACAAAGGGATCTTTAACGTGCGAAATTGCATATGTGACCTCCCAGATTTTTTGCTCTTGTCCGAGAAGGCTAGGTGTAGATCTTTCTTATCATAAGATCAGGGGTGTGGCTGAAAGACAGCAGTAAGAAGGAGTCAAGGAGAAGCAGTAGAAAGGCTGCAGAAAGAGTCAGGAGCCCAGAGGAGGGGGCAGAGGAGGCGAGGGCAGAAAGTGAAGACGAAAGCAGACGACAGAACATTGCTAGAGAGCAGGAAAGGAGGTGAAATGATAGAATTTTAGAGAAGAAAATTTTTTCATCGCTACCCAGATTCGAAACCCGGGACCTTTGAAAGAAAGACCAACACCTTGATCTCTAGGCCACAAGAGCCCCCACGTCCATTTATGACAAACTGGAATGACTGCGAAAACTGGTATCACTTAATTTGTAATTATTTCAACTTTTCTTCGTTTTAATTCGTATCATAGTTTTTCAAAATGTTCGGCTTTTCCACTGCTTGGTAAGAGTTGATCCACTTCAGCCTGTAAACTAAATTGCTTGGTTTAGTTTAGTAAGTTTTACTGTGCTCACAACTGCACCTCCCCTGGACATCCTAAGGATACCAGAGGAAGGGAAAAGTAAGTACAACTGCATAAGGTCTTATGAGCACGCGCAACACATGGGGGTTACAAAAATGTAACTTGTGCCTGGCCCTGTGTGCGATTGAGTCGGACAACCCTGCTTTAAGGCATATACCAACCAGTGAAATTTTATTATAATTATACCCTTGGTTGCTACCTGGCATTAAAAAATTTAGTGTGATAAAATTTTTTAAAGCATCTTTCTAAATGCGAATATATAGTGGAAGACATTTTTTTAGGAAAGGAATATTCAATGTTTGACAGTCTACAAATTAACATAATAGCTCTGTACAAGTATTTTAATTTAGTATTAGTAAGCGTTTTATGGCACTTGCAACACAATAAGGTCATATAGGTGCCGAAGATTAGAGGAGTTACAAGAGAGTAACAAACACACAAAAGAAGGAGGAGAGATAAGGACGATAGATGTTTGATAGGAAAGAAGGAGCAAACCACACCAGAGCACCCGCCAACCACCCACACAAGTATTTCAGATTACGTTGTTGAACACAAAGGCTAGACGCACTGACCTTGTAGCCTTTGAGGTTTCCGCGGGCACTAACTCGGTTGTTGGGGATGGGCTTCCAGCGAACCATCAGAGCCGTGGCGTTGTACGGGTCGGCCTTGACCTCTTCGGGGGCTTGGAGAGGAACTGAGTGGTGATGAGTAAAAAGGAAATTTAGTTTTAGTCTTAGTAATATAGTATAGGTTTTACGGCGTTCACAACTGCATAAGGTCATATGAGCGCCAGAATATTAAAGGGTTACAAGAGAGTAACAGACATAAAAAAGGAGGGGAGATAAGGATGATAGATGTTTGATGGGAAAGAAGAGGCAAACCACAACAGAGCAACTGCCAACCACCCACATGGGACGAAAGGAAATAAGATCTAATGAGATTAAGAAGGGTGGGGGTGGGAAGGGATGGGGTGAGATGAAGTGGGATGAGATGAGGTGGGGTGGGGTGAGATGAGATGAGATGAGGTGAGGTGAGATGAAGTGAGATGGGGAGGGGTGGGATGAGGGGGGATGAGATGAGATGAGATGAGATGAAGTGAGATGAAATAAGATAAGAAAAGGATTTATTTAATTCCACAAAGAAAAATTTGCAGCATGGTAAATATGATCCTTACGAGAAAGACATTTGCTTCTGCCCTCGACACCGTAAGTAATAGAGACTGAAAAAAGTAAGCAAGTAAGTAAACTGGTAATAATAATAATAATAATAATAATAGCATTTGTATAGCGCATATCCATGCTCGACAGCAAGGTCTATGCGCTCTACACTACATTATTACCCCAGCAGACCATAGAACACTCAGAAACATTCTCAGATTCGCAGGAAGAATAAAGTGCAAGCAGCTGGTTAAGCACTCAAACACTAACAAACTGACAAGATCTTTTACAGAATTGAGAAGTGATTCTTACCGGAAGGTAACAGGCTGAAAAAGTAAGTAAGTAAGTAAGTAAGTAAGTAAGTAAGTAAGTAAGTAAGTAAGTAAGTAAGTAAGTAAGTAAGTAAGTAAATAAGTAAGTAAGTTCGTAAGTAAGGTAAGGTAAGGTACGGTAAAGTAGGGTAAATAAGTAAGTTCATAAGTAAGTAAGCAAGTAAGTAAGTAAGTCAGTAGGTAAGTAAGTAGGTAAGTAAGAGAGCAAGTAAGTAAGTAAGTAGGGAAGTAAGCAAGTAAGAGAGTTAGTAAGGAGAAGTGATCCTTACGCTCCTCAGCCGACATAACGGTGACCACGACAGTCTCTGGCCCGTCCCCGTCATCATTAATGGCCTGTACGATGGCCTGGTACGGCTTGAAGTAGTTGTCTGCCCCTACCAGCTCCACATGCTTGCAGATGAAGATGAGGCCCGTGAGGAAGTCGGGCACAAACAGGCAGGCTTTGTCGTGGGAGACGGTCACCTGGGAGGGACACATACAAGACATACAAGCGCTGTTTCCGAACTATTTCGGCTGCTGATAGGAAATTTTGCTTAGACTTTACTTAAAATGTTGTTTTTAATATCACTAGAAGAGAAAAGAACGTATATTACTTCCGACTGCGACTCATCGGCATTCGATTGATTTACTCGCAGCAAATTATACTGAACCTGTGGTCTTGATCAAGCTTTTTTTCCAGCGTTTTCAAGGCATTAAAATCAATCCGATCGCATTGTTCTTCTAGATTTATGTTTTACTTTCATTTTTTTGCCGCTTATGCCCGAAACAAAGCTAAAAAATTTGGTTCCTGTTTTTTAACAAACACAAAAATAGCCGTGGCACTGTTGTTATTTTTTGTTGTTTCTTTTTCTTCTCGTCCATAAAGATTTCAGTGTGGGTGGTTGGTGTGGTATGCTTCTTCTTTCCTATCAAACATCTATCATCCTTATCTCCCCTTCTTCTTTTTTATGTTTGTTACTCTCTTGTAACACCTCTAATCTTCTGGTGCTCATATGACCTTATGCAGTTGCGAGTGCCGTAAAACCTTACTAAAACTAAACTAAAAGATTTCAGTGCTCATTTTCTTGCTATGATTTGTGGTGACAAAACAACAAAACTATAAATTATACTTGGCGAAAAACTGGATCAAAACAGGCTTGAAAAAGGTTTAAGGTTTCTACAAGCCACAAGCGACCTGTTACTTTCAATAGAAACCTGGATAAGTGGTTCGGACTCGATTTTGTGGACTGGTATTTTGATACGACTATTCTCGTAGCTCGGTGGACGGAAGAGCACGGCAACTACGAATATACTCGAAGCTCGGGTGCAATGGGTTAAATGCACAAAGCTTCTCATTACATTTCCAAATATGTACGACTAAAATTCATTTATCATCTGAAAATATAATTTTAATTGTCTCCTTAAAACGTATCACCTTTCATCGTTATAAGCTACTAAAACTGGTTCTTTTTTGGTCAATAGAAGTCCCAATTTTCCAGTACCAGAAATTTTCTCAAACAAATACAGGACGTCCAGCAACATTTCCTAAAAAAATTTACTACAGGGTGTCCAGCAACATTTCCTGAAAAAATTTACTACCTGAAAAAAAAATTACCACCCAGCAAATCAAGCCCCACACCAGCTCGAAAAAGGGGACTTCATTTGCGCCATCCATAACATAATATTACATAATATATGAAATAAAAATTACAGACAACAAAGTCCAGTCGACAACACGGAGAATAGACTGACGATCACACGCTCACTTGCCGCTAGTTTTAGTTCAAGTAAGGTTTTTACGGCGCTTGTAACTGCATAAGGTCATATGAGCACCAACGGGTGGATGTCAACAGAGAAGTCCAAACGGGGAATCAGGCTTACTCTGCTCACCTCTCTAGTCTCAAGAGCACAAAGTCTGCTTCGGGGGCTCTCCTGGCCTAAAAGTTAAGGTGTTCGCCTCTCGTTCAAAGGAGGTGAGGGGGTGGGGGAAGAAAGAGGAAATGAAAGTAGATGACAGAACATTGCTAGAGAGCAGAAAAGGAGGTGAAAGGAGACAATTTTAGAAAAGAAAATTTTTCGGTCGTTACCCAGATTCCAAACCGCGACCTTTGAATGAGAGGCCAACACCTTAACCTCTAGGTCACGAGAGCCCCTCCCCCTCTCTCTCTCTCCTTTTTACTCCCTCTCTCTCACTGCTTCAATTTCAACTGTATTTAAATCATTGAGCGTGGACATTCTCTGGTGTGTAAACACGACCGGGGTGAGTGCGTGCGTAGACAAATCGGGGGGCTCTCGTGGCCTAGAGGTTAAGGTGTTGGCCTCTCATTCAAAGGTCCCGGGTTCGAATCCGGGTAGTGACCGAAAAATTTTCTTCTC